GTTATTCCATTTTACGGTAATATAAACAACAGAAAATATAAATATACTTCAAATATTAAAAAAAATTCAAGCATACATTCACAAGTTAAGCTTTAAACAGTAATAATTTGTGAACTAAAATTATATACATATTAGTCAGGTTCTCGTTATACTAGTATAGATCAGATTGAAATTTGCTGTACTATCATTTCAACGATGATGATTACCACAACCATTTGATGTACCATTTACTGTCCAGCAAACGTGCAATCGCATTACTAAATGAGCCACGAACGCGCGTTGGTGAAGCGTTACTTTCAGTCGCTCGAGGAATTCATCCGCATCTATCTGTAGAATCGAACGATCTCCTTCGATCAACGATCGATCCGCGCCGCTCTTGCAGGAAGATATGGTCGCAAATTGAAATCCATTAGAATCGATTTTCCTGAACGGAAACAGGACTCGGACACGAGATACGCATGACGTACCAACAGCACGTTCGCTCTTGGCAGTTTCACCGTGATTACAATCCATTGCTGCGACGAAACGTGCCATAATGAGGAAGAAGAAGACTGATTCTTATGTAGCCACAGATCATTCCGGTAATATTACAATAATGTTACAACATTTCAGAAATATTGCAGAAGCATTGTAAATATTGCAGCAATGCGGCAGCAAGCAATATGGGATCGCAGTCTCGAATCGTAATTCTCTCTCTACATACAAAAAAATACGTAACTTTTTTCAAATATTCACAAATATTCACAAATCTGTTATTATAAATTTATCACAAACATGATATTTATTCAAAATATATTCTAAATACTAGTAAGTTTAATATATACTTCAATCAAGATTATAAAATTAAAACAAATTCAATTTGCTTCTTGTAAAGTCATTTCTTTGATCAATTTTATAAGATATAAAAAAAGTAAATTCTTGTAAATTTTTGAGTATATAATAATGAGTTTTTCTAAAATTTGTAGTGAGTATATTTTACAGTAAAATTATTACGGAGAAAATATTCTTTGTTAAAGAGACGTTACTGAAAAGGAAGAAGAGTAAAATGAGTAATAACTTTCTTCAGCAACAGAATGATGATTTTCTATGTATACGTTTGCTTAGAATCACGATACGAGAATACAAAGTTTAACCCAGATTCCTTGGTAAACGTATGGATCATGAAAGAACCGCGATCTCGACGACGACAACCGCGACGATAGTGAAAATCAGTCGCCACTCGCAACTTTAATCGCGATTTCTATCTTAAGCCCGATTTACATAAGACGTAAAACGCGGGCTATAGGTCGCAAGACTAGAAACTAATGTATTTTAATTATAATAGATTGCAAGACGCAGAACGCTGGTCGCAGGAAGTTTGGTGAACTTCAACTTTTCCTGCGTTCTACGTATTGCCACTTGCGACCTTTTGGATCTGGTCTGAACTGGAGTATGCTGGTGTAATAAGTTAAAATGAGACAGCTATAGTTTGTTTCACTCTTAACTCATTGTAGTATTTAGAACTAGTTCAGAATTTTTTGAAAAAGAACATATCTTTTATAAACTGAAATGCATTTTACTTGCAATCTGCATTCTGCGTATTAAGCCCGATCTACATAGGCTGTGTTCCAAAATTGACTGCCAGTACTAAAAATCTATACTGCATGTAATGTAAATTGTAGTTCCATTTCTATTAGATTACGTAATTTAAAGTAGTATCCTGATTGGTTTATCGGCTTTGTGTGTAAGTTTACACGTTACGCATACTGTTACAGAATTTTGTGTGCGGCAGCCCTTAAGCCTATTCTACAATATGCGTAGTTGTAAGTGATTGTAGTTGTAAGTATTGACCAATCAAGTCGAATGTGAATATTTGACTGTGATTAGTCAATTCTTACAACTACAATCATTTACAACTACGCTTACGACTATTGTAGAGTAGGCTTTACAATCTGAAATATTTTTACTTGTGACCTGCGTCTGCGTCTTACGTAGGGCTTTATTTTTGCTCTGTACATCCACATGATCGTTATCCTCGTTCGCCTGTAACGAAAATTACAGAAAGAAAGAGAGGCATGAGAGGAACCAGTCCTCAAGTTCAGTGACACGCGCATTTCGCGAGGCTTTGCCGTGAAAAGGAATGACCGCGCGTCATCGTGGCACGCGCGAATCCCGAGAATAAAATACTGGTTTTCGACTCGGTTTAAATTGTAGTCGTTTCACGGTTCGTTTCCGCTTTCAAACGAGTGGTTGGTATTGATATCAACTATTTTACGTAAGTCTGTTAGCGACTAAACAGCGAAAATTTTAGAATTTATTCCATCAATCGAATGGCAAATGAGAAAAAGTGTATATACAGGATATACAGTATATATACTACATCTCTACAGGTGCATGTAGAGATTTAGAAAGTAATCTGATATTACGGTACTTCATTAATATAAATTGGTTCGCGGAAATTCATTTATGAATGGCAGCGTGATTCAACGTGATGATGAGGCGGAATTTCGGAATTCGAGCGTTCTCGCAAACCCGTACATGGATCTAACTATAAATAACTCGGGGATAGCTTGTGTAATGTTGATTTTTTCAGAAGTTATAAGGTTTTTCACCGTTATAAGACGGTAAAACGCACCATAAATCGCTTTCTATAGGCTAATTTTAGTATTAAATAATCTGTATTTAAAATCTGTATATTACAATGAACTCTTTAACTGCCAAAATGCGTTGTGCTCATTAAATTCGCATGTAAAGTGTAATAAATATACAAAAATTTAAGCAAATTGTTACTTAATTAGCTATCTAATAATTATATAGTAGTAATCAAAGAAATTTCAGAATAAATCGATTTCTTTTTGACGATAGAAAATTACCTTGTAAATCAATCAATTATTTACATTTATAGTCATTGGTTACATATGTATCGGCGGCCATATATAATAAACAAGCCTTTCAGAATAATTCCTAATAGGTGGTCTAACTAGGAATCGCGTACGTAAAAAATTACTTGAAATGCGTTTAAGGAAAACACTTCAATTTGGACATATACGATCTAATAAATCAACAAGCTTGTCGTTGAAACAGATTTATGTTTTAAGACAAAATAATTGGAGAACAAAGAGAGTGATTTACGTAATTTATTAAAAATTAATCCGTTATTTTACGAATGTCTATATTCTTTTTCGCGGATTTTGAAAAAAATCACAAGGTATAATTTTTACTATATCGTATGTCATATGCACTGCTAAAATATTACGTAAAACATCAGATCCTATAAATTTTTGATATTTTGTGTAAAATTTTAATATACAGTTGTCCTAGAAAAAACAGAGAGAGAGAGAGAGAGAGAGAGAGAGAGAGAGAGAGAGAGAGAGAGAGAGAGAAACTATTTAATAACATATTTAAAAAGAATCTCTTTTATATACAATATATTTTTTATGTCTAAACACAGATATGTTATAAATAAAATCTTTTAATATACATTTGTTACAAAGTCTTCACTTTTTTTCTTCGCAAAACAAGTTTAAGCTTTATTAATTTTTTTTAGAAAGAAGATTTAACTGGTTAATTATCTGGCAATTAATTATCTGAATAAAATACGATTAAATGTATTTTTCTGCAAAGTCAATTTCACTTGTGGCTTCTCTCAACTTCTAACATAAATTTTTTTTAGACATTTATATAGTAAGGAAGAGGTCTCATATAAGTTACAAATGACTAACTTACGAATTTTACCTGAAAAACCGGTTTGTGAATTAATGACTCGGGGTTTTACACTTTTTTGTTCTTACAGCTTAATTGTCGATAAATACATTAATAAAATTTAGTGTCAAGTTCTTTTAAAATGAGGTATATTCAAAATCAAAGAAATAAATTATTTCTCCATCTTCGTTTCTAAAAAACATTTTCTAATCAAATATCGAAATAGTATTTCCTATTAGTTTGACTTGTTTTATTCGATTAATGCCCATTTCTACCAATGTGGATTAACTGTAATCTCGATTCAACTTACTCTTCATCTTATTCTTAAAACTAGAAAAAGATGAAGAGTTAGTTGAACCGAGATTAAAGTTAAACTGCATTGGTAGAAACGGGCATAAAACGGGTTTAGAAATTTTTGCTCCATTTTTATGCAATGTATTATTACTTGTTTATTTTAATAAACAAAATGAATAAACTATGAGATATGTAAAACTTTACTTGTACTTCCAAGAACTATTTTTCGATTCTTGCATGATCGGGTGATTTAATTTGGGACAGCAACCGAATTCGGCATTACATACCGACAAACAGTCGACAGAGTAAGGCAATAACGAAGGCACGAGCGGAAGGATCTCGTGTCGTGTGAACGGTTGCTACATGTAGGTGAACAAGTTGCTTAGGTAGTCCACGGTGAACTGTTATATGCACTGGCATGCCGCCAATCACTCGTTGAAAAGCCATTTCTGATGGCAATGCCAACGACGAAGGCGCTATGCTAGAACAGTCACAATTCCACGCACCGAACTTGTTTCGAAGGCCCCGATAGCAATCGAACGTATTCGAGAGGTTCATGATACATGTTTCCAAGTCTGGGAAATCGTAATTGAGGCACCGAAAACATCAAGCTATTTTCAATTCAGATCACAGCGACGCAGTAAAAACTTGCATTTGATTTATTCACTTGCATTTAATTTGTACGTATTAAAATAAGAAATTATCACTTAAAACTTATTTATATATATCCACACATTCATATCTAGATTTTCTTGCAATTACAATATTTTTTAGACTGCAATGTTCTTATTATTGAATTAATTATCAGTCTAATTTGAGATATTCAAATATTTTAATTTCAATTTGTGATCACATTTCAAGCCCAACAAACTGAATTAAAGCGTAATGTATAAAATTAATAAATAAAATTAAGTTTATAAAACTGAAAAACGTATATTATTATAAGCATTAAGATTCACTGCGACCGAAAATAAAATATTACATATATATTTCTCTTAATTTATTCTCATTTAAGTAATATCAAAACACATGCATACGTAACAATAACGTTTTATAAATGCGAGAAAAGTGATTGAATTAACTCCAAAAATAAAAAATATTTTCATTGTGGAATTAAGTAAACGAGAAATCTTAACGAGTATCAAAAAAACCAAAATTTCATTTTTAATTTGCTTTGATTTATTATAAAAGTTATATGCAGCAGTAACATAATTAAAAAATTCCGATGTGTTAAGCGAACATTTCGCAGATAAAAACGTGTCCGAATTCCCACATCGGGAGTGAACGTTCGACGTTCATGTTTCGCGGTAATTGAGATCGACCAATTTAGGATGTACGAACTGCCGTCGATTCAATCCGTGCTGTTCTATCTAACCAAATTTACGAGATGCACTATGCTTAAATTGCGGGAAGGAACGAACCGATAACAAAGTAACGAATTATGCTGGAGGCTCGAAGGAGAGAACTGATGTGTTTCGATCACGACTTTGTTCTCGGTGAACTTACCAAACGATCGAATATATTTTCTCGATCAAATCCCGGTATATCGACGAGTCGCTAGAATTTTGCATAAGATCTATTGTACTTTACTATTTAAGTTAAAAAACGACAATGTCTCTTCCTAAACAAAAATGCTGAGCAAAAAATATTAAATTATCATATATTAGTATAATATTTATGATACATTTAGCATATGTTATAGATAATTATTTTTCTAAAATTATACATTGCTCTCCTTATAATATATTGTCTTTATTTAAGTAATTTATATCAATTTCTAATAATATCTTGATGTATTCATATATGTATTCCTGATAATACCTACTTATTTCTTAAAATTTCCATACGTTTTTTAATTTAAATAGTAAAGTACAATAGATCTTATGCAAAATTCCACCTTTTTGTAATAATAAAATTTTTTAATAAGTTAACATCTTTTAAATTTGCTCGTCGATCTTTAATGAGGTGTTTCTCATTTATTTTCTGTTTTGAATACATATGAACGTAATGTTTTTTTAAAGCTAATTACCTTCTTTAGCAGTATTTTTAAAGGAGCATTGCGATTACAATCAACTATTTATTTTTAAACATGTTTAATATGCAAAATTATTTTCTCAGTGTTGTTAACAAAATGGTTGCCATTTCACCCTACATTAAACGAGTTGGAATTTATGTCTTACTAAAGATGCGCCTAAGAACTTGCTACTTTCTCTCTGCCATTCTCCATCATCATCAATCTTTATCAGTTAATTGCAATTATCACGCAAGGCTGCATTATCGATGTCTTATCCAGTTTTGTATTATATAGGACATGTCGAATTCTTTACGATCGATTAGAAACCAAAAGTATAATTTCTTATGGTGTAAAATACCTATCGAAAGACAAGAACGATATACGGATTAATTGCAGTTGAAATGTAAAGACCCATCAGCGGCTGTTAGTTTCAAAAATAATTGCCACTCCAGTATAGCAATTAGTCACAGCAATCATTTTTATAGGTAGTAATCATGAGCCGTCTGTTACATTTTACAGTTACGACTTGACTTTAAATTAGTCTTTAAAAGAGGCATTGCTTGAAAATCAATCATTGACCCGAATCTTTGCGGAAGTTACCATTTTTCGACGAATCTATGTCGAGTGCTATTTAATTCGGAAATTATGTTGTTATAATTCCTCGACTTAAGTTGTGAAAGAGAAATAGCTTGTCAAAGCTAGTAACGGTGTAGCATTACGTATCACATGTGCCATTTTATTATTTCAGTACATTAATGATTAAATTCTTTTCGAGATAAAAAAAATAGATAAAATTCGCAAAATGCGATAGTAAAATAGGCTAAAGAATCATAAATTATTATCACATTTTGCAAATCGTGTGTAGTCTTAAGATTTTATTCATTGTACTTATAATCTATTGTAGTCTGTTTAATTTATTTCGGCTTATTTTGATATATTATATAAAACATCGTAACTCTATAAATTTTATAACATTTCTATAACTTTTATAACATTTTTCAAATCTTTTTCATCTTTGAAATATGTATTTTCTAATAAAATAAAAAAGCACAAGCATATTAAACTAAATAATAACAAAAATTTGTATAAGAATATTCAATATAATTGAATATGTTCTTATACGAATTTAACTGATTTACTTTGTCCTCACTGAAGGTCTTATTTACATAAATCCAGCTTATAAATTCTCGGTCTAAGTACCGCTATTGCGTGGAGAACACTCCAAGAGTCAAGATATGTATAGGGTTCATCTCGAAATTTCTGCATAAAAATAATGCTAATATAAAAAAGATACTAATTGAGAGAATTGTAGCTATAAAAAATATATATATTTATATTACTTAAATTATAATTACTTTTTTATGGCATATTTTTCATTTTACAAATCATTTAAAAAAAAAAGAAAGTTTTTTTAGATTTTTTTCAAGAATATAAGTCAAAAATATTAAAATTTTATATATTTTTCAAGTGCAAAAGTAATAAATACATTTTATATATTTTTATATTCATATTTTTTCTTCTACATATTTTTCTAGTGCAAAAGTAAATCGATATCGTGTATCGAAAGCCGAACGTATGTCAAGATATTGCTTGCAAATTTCTTTGTGCAACATAGCGCGGTAAACCACAAGCACAATATATAACACATCGGATTACGTTAGCTTTATTATATTCTTCATTATATTCCGTCTCGGGACATTTAACTCGCCAACTAAATCAATGTTCGATAGACACAACACCGTGATTCACTTGCATACTTGTCGTCATCTTCCTACGCATTTTGCACAACCCAACACTTCACTTTATTTATCGATATTATCGTAACCACCGAGAGCTACTTGAATATCTATATAATCACGGCGTAAGCAAGAAGTTAATTATTAAGAAGGTAAATACGTAAGAAAAAAGAGAAAGAAAGCAACAAAAAAGTGAAAGAATAATAGATAAAAGAGAAAAAAGAATGATATTAAATGATTAGATCTACTCGACAGGAAAAGTAGATAGAAATCGTAAGTAAAAAAGGAAAGAAAAAAAAACAACAAATGCAAATTAAAAGTTAAGTCTCCAAAAATAAAAAGAATATATTGAATATATTGAAAAGAGGAGTAAAAAGAAGATAAGACAAAAATATGCCATAGTAATTTAAGAGAGCTAAAGAAAATAATAAGGAAATGAGAGAAAAGGAGAATAAAAAGAAATATGACAGAGAATAAGAAAATATGATAGAGAACGAATGTCTGAGAAAAAGTAGAGTGTAAGAAAGAGATCAAGATACTCGATGGACTCTACAGCGTGTCTACAGCGGGTTGCAAGATGAAGAAGAAGAAGAAGAAGAAGAAGCAAAACGAAGGAGGCGCAACGAGTGGCGCGCGAATGTGATGAAGGTGGAAGGGATCGTTGACGATGGGAGAAGAGAACACAAGGCAAGTAGCGAAAGCAGAAGAAGATAAGAACAGAAAGAGAGAAAGAACCAAAGCGAAGAAGATGACTCACCGCTCCTGGCACTGGCTGCTTGACGTTTGTCGTGTCCGGCGAACGTGCCGGTCATGTGGGCAAGCACTGTCGCGAGCACGACGAGTGCCCGGTAGCCGTAGAACCTCATGGCCGCCCTTTAACCGAGGGTACCGAATTCGAGAAAAGAGAGAACGGTTAAACGAGATCGTAGACGACTCTCTCAGGACTCTCTCTACCGCCTCGAGCGGATCTGCTGAGCGCACTGCTGGCTCAGCGTCGACTGAGACGTACTTTGTGCTCGCCGCTCTATCAGCAGGACCGTCACTCCTCTCGGTACGTTTCACACCGCGGTCCGTGTGTATCCCTCGGGTAGGAAACTACCACCACAATGAACGGATAGTATACTGTCGTCTCCGGGCAGGTTGTGCTACTACCCGCCGCACAATGGGCCCCCACACTCTTATCACCCGAATTTTAATCCCAGCGCCAGTGCCTCCACGATATCGGTCACCGTCAACTTTTCCTCTCGTATCCACGCACGAATCCTGCACACCTATTTAAAACCTATCGCTCCACCTCGCGCTCCTTACCATTGGCTCCTGCCCCAATTCCTTGCCCAATGGTACTCTCTCGCGCGCGTTCACCTCCTTTTCAGATCGGTGACGGCGGCGGTGGCAGCGGATGTGGTTATATCTCTCAGGTGGAGAGAGAGACAGAGGGAAAGGTGGCTGATGGAGATCGGGTGGTGAAGTAGGCAAGCGTAGTAGGTGGCGAAGTCCCCCGATTTTGCCTAGGCGGTGAATACTATTGTCGGACAAGTCCGACGAACGTCGCGTGCGACGGTAACGAACTTCTCGAGTTCGCGAAACGATGACGTTGAAAATTTCCCCTCTTTCGCGTATTCACGCGCGCCGATTGCGGTCGACGAAGGTGAAGGGGGTTTTAGGTGGGGTTTACGCGCGCGCGAGCAATCCAAGATCGGGCTGTCGCTGTCGCTGACTTTGCTGACTCCGCTCGGTTCTCTCCCGGTTCTCTTTCCGCGTCTCTCTCACGTATAACTGGTCTAGGATACCGCAAAATCGTCTGGCTATTTGTCTGCGTTACGATCGGAACAAGCAGAAATTATGGGCGTCGTGTGCCTATTCTTAGGAAAGACCAACACAACTTCCGCAACACGGCTTTATTCACGTGGGAAAACCCCAGGAGGGACAGTCTGATGACAAGGTCGAGGTGAAAATTGGCGAACATTGATGTAACCCGTTACGTGCAGCGTTATTATTACTGTTCCAAGTGGGAATGAACATATGCTAAAAAGACAAACAAGATGTGGACTAGCTAAATTACGATGCGATACTTTATAGGATGTAACAAAAGTCTTAAGCGCTTTCTTGAGTTTGAATGATTTATATACCATATCTAAGTCTATACAGAAAAAAAAGAGACAGAAATAATCAATATTAATCAAGGAATTCCAAAAAATAATAATACTATGACAAAAATAACTATTGCCAAACTATTAATATTTCACATATTTAATTAATAAAAAATTTTATTTATCATATGAGTTTGTGTTTCTGAATGTAATCTAGAGAAGTGGAATTATTTTGACTTAAATTTATATCGTTCTAATTTATGCGTTCAAAAAGTTCGTAAGAATATGGAATGATTGACAAACTTTCCATAGGTAGAACGTTATAGATTTTCTAATAATATGGAGATAAGGAGTAAAGCACCAGTTGAGTACACACGCTTGGTGAACGTTACAGTGGAATCTACCCAAGGCTCTTTCGGCCTCGTCGCACCGTTTGGCGACCGCGTGTTCCAACGCGCGTACACCGCGATGTGGCTTAGCCACCGACACATGCTGTGCAATATCGGAATTGCGCACTTTCCTGCTCCTGCCTTTCGATTTCACCCGCGTATTCAAGACTATTTCGATTATGACCGTCCCGGCACACCCAGACTTCAAGTTCCTTGACGTACCTACCTTGGCAATGAGCAAACGATTCACTGGCTCTTAGATTGTCTTACCTTGGCACTTCCCTTTCTACAGCTGGTACAATGCGTACAATAGTATTTTGCGCTTGTGAAAATCGCGATCAACTTTCGATCGGCACTGTCGGTCGACAATTGTCTAATCTCAATATGTCAAGAAGGTGCCAATTTTTACAGTCTGCAGTTAGACCAACTTAAGCATAAGTTGCATCAACGCAACGCTTAAAATAGGATCGTAATGCTATATTTACTTCAAACTTGCTCTGTTAATGTTGAACATAATGATAATTATTTACCTTGTATTATTTAAAACGCATGGTCATTTTCTTTTAGATATTTATCAAGTATTAATCTTACTTGACGTACATACATTTATAATAGCGTTTCTCCCTCTTTCAGGAAATAAGCTCCTGAATGAGCTGACTGGATAGAATTTCCAACCGTTTACGTTCAATTATTTTGGTATATATACATGTAATATTAAAAATTATTTGATTAATTAATGTGTAATGTGTTAGCAATAATCAAACAACTTACATGACTTATTGGCATGGTAGGAGGATTCAAAAATCTTGCAACAAAATATTCCTAAAAGTTATATAATTGAAAAATTTATAATTAGTAAAGCTATAAATTATTTAAGAAACCAAAACATAATTATTTTTTACAATTTTATTTCACATATGCTATGTTCTTTTATATATTTCCACATATCTACTTTTATCTATTACAGGTAGCCTTCGAGCACCGGTGATAAGAATATAATTACTTATCAATTATACGGTAAAATACTTATTAAACGTACCTTCACATGTTAGAGTAACAATAAGCGTATAATTAATAAATAATTATGTCATTATCACTAATGCTCGAAGGCTAACTGTAATAGATAAAAATGGATATGTGTCGTGGAATATATAAAAAAGGCTACCTAAATTCCAAAGAAACATTTGCTTAAGAATGCTTTGCTGTACAATATTAGTTAAAAATATGAGCGAAAGAAAACACAATACTAGCCAATATCAGTAAAAATAATTGTGTCAAAAATTCCCTGAAATTAATTGCAAAAATCAAAACAATTATTTGGCTTTTACTGACTTATGCAAGATAGTTATTATATTTTGTTGCAGTTTTAGGTAAGTAACTTTTAAACGTCTAACAAGTTTGATCAAAATAAACTCTTACACAAATATTTATTAAAATTTTATTGATATATATGAAAAATTTGATTTAATTTGTTATGTTACTTGTTCAAAAATGTATGTGTCAAATTTGCAAATTTGAGTTGTGACATATACATTCTAAACTTTTCCAATTAGACACGTGTCTTATCTTACACAAATTGTTCCTACAATGTAGTAATGATAAAAACAACAACAAATATAATCACAAGTATAAAGTTACGACGTGCAGTTAGAGTTTTTACAAAATAATTTTTGACGGAATTTTACTTTGTTTTCAAAAAAAATTTACTTGAAAATTGTCATTGACATTCTAATTGTTTATTTCAATTTTACTAAAATAATATTACATAAACATTTTCTAAATAATTTTAAACGAGTTATTTTTTTTAAATTTATTTCTTCGAATTGTTTATATCATGATGTCGCATTATTAGTAATTAATAATATAAGGCCATTTAATTGATTAATCACGACATCATGGATATTTGATCATTCGAGGATAATTAGAATATAAATAGTAACAATAATCTTGGTGCGCGTTTTCGAATCGATTAATGTTTTTAATCAGCTGGCCGTATACAAGATACGCATACAGGCCAAGTACAATTGTTTTGTACTTCGGTAGCACAATCTCAATTGTCCTTCAGATCTTATTAAGCATCGACGATGAGTCGCCCGCGCAACGCGGAAGCTCGCCACGCTTATCCGTGGGCTCGAGCGTATCAAAAGGATTCGTCATGGCAGGACAGGTATGATGATGTTGTATATTCAATGGCGTGATCCCGAGTAGCAATCGTCACATACACTGGGACACTTTCCCCAGGCGGATGACCCGTCATGGTTGAAAACGGAAAATCGGAAAAGACGAACACGGCGCGGGTGGCGAGAAAGCCAACGGTCAAAGATCCATCTATTGATAATGACTAGATTGGCGATGATTCAGTGGATAGAACTTTACATCTATTTAACATGTTGTCCGTAAGATAACGCTTTGGAATTGTTGGAAGATAGATAGAGCTGTCCGTCATGGTAATCATCGCGAAAAAAGATAAGATCACAAAAAAAGATAACGTACTTTTTCCATAGATTATATAAATATATTTAAATAAAACGTAGAAAAGGTTCTGTTACATAAAGACTCACTCGGAAAAAGACTTCGGAAAAATCCTACCTTATTGAAAATGTTACACTGAGAAAAATGGTTGTGGTTGGATTAAATAGTAATTTTATGGAAATGGATTAAGTCTACTAGAAATCCAGTTGAGATAACTAGAATTTTGATTGATATAATTATTTTGATAAGCATAAGAATTCTAGTAGATTTTATCAGAAATATTGTATCAACCAAAATTCCGGTTATTTCAACTAAAATTCTAATAAATTTAACCAGAAAATTCTAATTCGTTCATTTTTAACTCGAAATTATTTTCAGTTAGCTTTTTTTGTGCTTTAAACGTTGATAACATTGTATGCTGCAGAAAGTTTTAACAATCTAATAATTAGTTTGAGAGCTCTACACATAATTATTTTGATGGTCAGACAAAATTGTTTTCAAATCCAAATTCCTTGATAGAAATATTATACTACAAATATAGTTTTCTTAGACACTCATCCATAATAGTGTTACTGTCTAGTATTACTATATTTTCATTAATTGTAACAATATACTGCGTAAGAAATGAAAATAAAAGCTTGAAAGTTTTATTCAATAATTAAAACAGTTTTCCTGATAAAAATATTTGTGTAGACAATCCAGTTATTGTTTAGGATTAAATAGATTATTATTAGTAATTTAATATTATTATTATTAGCAATTTTATTAAATTAATTATTAATAATCATACCAAGGAACTACGAATCAAGCTCGATATTTAATATTAAAGTTTTATAAATAATAAATTATAATGTTAATAAAGATTTAGCATTAAATATACAGCTTGGTTTGTAGTCCCTTGTTTTGATTTTTAATTTTTAATTATTTAAACCGATTATTATTGAATTTTATTATTAATAATTTAATAGATTATTCTTAAAACACTGCGTAATTTATTTATTGTCCCTTTTTTGTTCAGCAAACTGAAATTCAGAATTTGCGCATTTTTTGTATGCAGTAACTGGAGGCGAAGGGTTTCATCTAGATTAGGATCCTAATTGTAAGTATAGTTTTACTTCTTAGTAAAACTATCTCTCTAGACTCTTTCTCTCTCTCTCTCTCTCTCTCTCTCTCTCTCTCTCTCTCTCTCTCTCACTAGACAGAGTTAATATAACTGTCCAAAAATTTCTTAGAAATACATGAAATGTCTATTACACTGAAAAAATTTTGGTCATTTTTGGTCCAATAATAATTGTTAATCAATGTCCAACTTAATGTCTAACTTAATATAAATTAATTCATTGATACAATATATTATCATGGATTTATTTATATAACTATATATTCATTTTTGCAATAAATTTTAGTAATAATTTTATAACCTAAATTATTATGATTCATTGGATCAATTTTTATTATTTTTTTATAATTCACTAAATACTTTATTGTATTTACGTACAGTTTTGGTTCAGTGTAGAGCTAACTAAATTTTTAAATATTTTAGCAAAACCATTTTCTTTTTTCGTATATTTATTCTTTTCGTATATAACGATAAATTTTGGCAAGCGTTACTCAAAACAGGAAATAACAATGAAAAAAGTACGCTATAGTCAGTGACAGGCTTGCGCTGCACTTTACCGAGACGAAAGCGATCGATTCGATTGCGCATCTCTCGTCGAACGTACCTACTAGTGAAATGTGTTTTGCACCGGCACGCGACGCATTCTAATGTGCATTCGTACTGGTCTCTTTCTCCTCGTGAAGATTCTCGAGATCGTACGGTTTCCGCCTGTCTATTTACCACCGCCGCCTCGTTGCACCGTTTTATCGGCATCCCGCGATTTCCGATAGAAATTGAAAGGGAATCTATTAGCGCACCTAGCGGAACGATGTAAATTGCTTCGTTGAGATTTTAACCTGCCGTTGCACTTTTTAGCCGGTTTATTCGGCCGGCTAGTCTGAAACGTGCCGGGTTTCGTTTGCCGGTCGCACGAACCGGTGTCGCGCGAACCGGTGCGGTGAACGGAATCGAGCGGCGCTGCTCGATAAGCTTCGATTGCTTTTCCGATTTTTCTCACGCATATCTTGCCACGCAAGGACGTTGTCTATATAACAGTGCTTTTCAAAGCGGTCGCTGGCCCCAACGAACTGTTACGGAAAATCCTCGGATTTAATTAGCTACTTTAATACTGAATCAATTTAATATTGGAAATTACTTATTTTATATTAAATTTCTGCAAGAGGAAAAGAAATAAGAAATTACATTTAATAAAAATGGACTACATTATTCAAATATTATCACTCTATAAATATATATGAAAGAGTAAAAATGTAAAAAAGTAAACACATAGATAAAGGAATAATTTGCAAACTGTAAAAAGTGACTACAGTATATATGTGATTGTTTTCCGTGTGAAAATATATATACACTACACTGTATACAAAAATGCATTTATACGTTTCAACGTGAAATATAGTGTAATATAGTCCATTTTTTAAGGAAAACTAATCATACATATATTGTAGTCACTTTTTACACACTTAGAATTGTAGTGAATTTAAAGTCTAAAACTGATTACTTTTAGTTATACAGATATAACAAATGTTTTTTTATTTATTTTTAGTAATTAACAGAAATGAAAAAAATATAAAAGCATTCAATAATGATCTATATAAAGTCTATTTGTGCTATTTGCAAAGAAGTCCGATTTTATGATATACGCAAAGATTAATAACACATTAAGTTTGAGAAGCACTGCTCTCTCTGAAGTTGAATTTGTTTATCAGGAGAGTGGATATCTTTTGCTTAGAATTTGAATGTATTTCTTATCTATACGAAAGAATCGTTACTCACGCACGCAATACGTGCAGCACATATTCATAAATAAACTAGTTGAAAGGAACGGCGCTTTAATTCTTATCTATGTGAAAATAGGGAGGACGTTTATTTAATAAACAGAAAGTTATAACTTTTACCAAGCGATAACTGTGAATGAAGATCCTTAGGAAATATAAACTTTTCAATTTTTCATTATCTGACATCTTGTAAATAAAAAGATACATATATCTTAATATAAATAAAAAGATAAATATATCCGTAAGTAAAGTTATTCTTCATTTATGAATATTTTTTATCTACTTATATAATATTCTTTATCCATAAATATTGAAATTAAAAAGCCTTTGCAAAAGTCAAGATAACAAAATACAAAGTGGTTAGTTTCTGTACTTAATATATTATATCTTCTAACTGTATCTTTCTGCAACTTTTACTTAATAATATTAAAGAATTTACATGTCTTCTTTATATTTGCTTACGCTTATTAAGCAAATGTACATAACGTGTACGTTGAGTTACATAACACGTAAATTTTAAGTCACTAATTATTGTCTATATCTTATCATACGTATTCGAGATAATAACGATTACGATAACAAAAAAAAATGTTTTTATATTATAGAATTTTTTTTCAAAAAACGTAGTAATGAAGCGTTGAAAATGAAGCAAAGAGAGTCATATACAGTCATATACAATCGAGGAAACCATAAAAGATTCCAAACAAAATTGTGGCGTTAATTTATACGTTCTTATATGTGAATTACGAGAAAATAACAGTTAAATATAATATATACGGATACATAGCGGCACTATAAATCAATTAGTACTTTCACTGATCTGAATTTCGTGAAAAAGTATTTCGCCGCTTTACCTCGGTTTATAGATGCTGAGTTTTTGTTCGCGTGAAAGTTTAGTTTGCAATAAATAGCATCTTCCTTTTTTTTTATCACGATACGTTTAATTGTTCATTTTGAAGTAACATTAATTTGAGGAGAAATGTTTTGCCTGGAAGGCAGACACGTGATATTGGCATAAAATTTGACACTATTTTTTTTTAAATTAATGAAGCATTTAAATGGTGAGATCGTGTTAAGTAAAAGTATCCTTTTTTTATAAACAGAAAAACATATTTTGTGAAAAAAATGTTTATAATTGAATACTTTAATAATCTTAATGCTTTAAAGTAATAATCTATGATAATGCATCTTGAATATCTCATTTTCCTCATACAATAATTAATTCTTAATTATAATTTAATAAGATTAAGTGTATCTTAATAACGGAATTATTACAAGTTAATTAATTTTTGAAGCATATAGACTGTATAGAGAAATATAAAAGGGTACTTCTTCATCTGTTGACAAACTTGAAATTAATGCTTCTTTAACTGTGGAGGAAGTGCATAAAATGTGAGAATTATAATTAATGTGAGAACTACGGTATGTGTAAATCTCTTTTACACTAATTAAAATTGTAATTAATGTGCAATTATGGGCTACGTACACGATAACTAACATAACTTCGGCCAAGATGAGAGATGATTATCGACCATGACGGTTGTAATAATTAGAACTGCTAGAGAGTGATACAGCTACAAACGTAATTCTCGATATACGGATGTAAACTTACAAATCTTGTGAAATGCCAAATTTTGATTTTAATAAAACTTTATATACATATAAGTTATGTAAATAGATGAATTTAGTAAATAAGTTGTGACCAACAAATGGTTTA